GTTTTTAAAAAATAAATTTTTTTAAAAAAGGGCCCCCCCCCCCCCCCCCCCCCCCCGCCTATTCAGTTTCAAGAATTCTGTGTCGACACACAGGCTTTCGCGATCCCGTGCCCTTGTGCCTCGAAAAAGTATACCCCGCCTTGTGTCTCTTGTGTGTGGTCAACAATCTGGGGGAAGTATAATATTCTCGTGCAATTGCCCGCAGATACCTGCTGCACGAGTGCGGCGTCGATGCCGGGGGCGCTTGTCCCACGCGGGGGAGAGGCGAGGGCAGGACCTCGCTTCATTGGGCGGCTAGGGGAGGCCACGAAGAGGTGTGGTGCCATCCATTTACCAGAGCCCTGATTGGAAGTTTGCATCGGCGCTCCATGGGGGTTGTTTTTAGTTTCCACTTGCTTGCTTGCACAGCTGACTCACTCTACAGCAGTACTATGGTTCGTACTCGGTGGGATGATAAGAGGTGCTGTTCGGTTGTTGGGCAGCGGCCAAAGTCGTTGAACGCGGAGGCTACGTCCCTCCCCCCCCCCGCCGCGAGAACGACGACAGCAGCCAGTCCCCTCCCCCCCGCCCCCAAGCTGTATTCCGAAAGGATGTGGCTTGGGAACACGCCGTCTTTCTTCTTCGCAGGAGGAGCCACAGAATCGCTTGGGTGCATGCCTTCTGTCCATACGCTGCAGTGACGGCGGTGACCTCAGAGCCGTTTGCCACGGCCGGCCTCCAAGCAGCCATGAAGGCCGGCTAACAACCGCCCCAAAGAAAAATCCTTCGCGCTCCGCCCGCCCGCCGTGAGTGAGTACGCTTATTCCCTCGCCACCTCCCCCCGGGAACCGCGCGCCCACAGGTATGCCGCCTTCTTTTGGAAACCCCGCGCCCCGTCGATGCGGCAGCTGCTGTCTCCGTCGTCGGGGGCGGGGACGGAACCCTCGTGTCCCCGGGCGGGGAAAGAACGTTTGTATCCCCGGACGTCACCGCCGCCGAGGGGACAACCCCTCTCCACTGGGCTTGCTGGGGGGCGCACCTGGCCACGTGCCGCCTGCTCTTCGAGCGCGGCGCCGATCACCGGAGCGTGAACGCCTACGGGTGCAACGTGGCGCACTGGTGTGGCCTGTCGGGGGACGTGGATGTCTGCAGGTATGTACTGTAGGGAGCGTTTTTTTTTTTTCTTCGTTTGCTGTTCTTTGACCTCGTGTTTTGGAAGACGTTGGTTTTTTCTGGGCGTGGAGCTAGGGTAGGGAACGCTTTTGTTCATTTATTGCTGCTGTTTTGGACCTCTCCTTTTGGAAGACGTTGGAGGTTTCTGTGGCAAAGAGGGACTATTGGTGAGACGAGGCCGGTACGCTACTGCTGTGGACTTTGTCCATAGTCCACGCCTTCTTTCTTTAGCTGCCTTTTGTGAATCGACGGGTGTGATGGGTGAGTGTCCCGTTGGTCCCGTGCTTTTTGGTTAGCCGCCGGGGTGACGCATGAAAACAACTATAATGACTGCTGCGAATGGGTCCAAGTCCTAAGCAGGGTTTGGCGCTTTTAGCAAGAGAGGGGCGGTATACAGAGGAAGACGGGGTTGCAAGAACCCGCTTGGCCTACACCTCAACACACCATCACATCACAACGCCATACACAGCACAGCACAGCACAGCACGATATGTACAGCATGAACGGTGGAGACGGGGGAGCCTAAGGCGACGATGACGGATTTCGGTACTTTTAAGTCAGTGTGTGCGAAGGCTGAGGTGTGGCCTTCCTGTTGCTTGCCCGCTTCCCTCCGACTTTCGAGGGTCCTCGGCACAGCATGGCACTCTTTTTTCACCGCAGTGCATCGTCACGTCGGACACAGGGCAGCACCACTACCACACACAGCAGTGGACCGATTTCACGAGGGTATCAAGCGTTGCATGTGGAATAGAGAGATAGCGCTAAAACCCTACATGGCCCTGACCCTAATCCCCAACCCACAACCCGTAACACCTACTTCTACCGTTCGACTCTGTGGTTATATCTCGAATGAGTAGTCTCTCTGCTTTTGTATATATTTTCCTAATAAACATCCTCGCGAAGGCTACTACTGACCACAGCGCAACACGTTGTACCACACTCGCGTTTCCGCAGGTGGCTGTCCAGGAGGGTGGAAGAAGGGGGGGCCGGCGGACTGGACTGGGCCAAGACCAACCTCCAGGGCCACACCATCTGCCACAAGGCGGCCCTCAAGGGGCACCGCGGCCTGCTGGAGTGGCTCGCGGAGCAAACCACCTCCTCCGCGGCGGGGGGGGGGGTGGTGCCGAGACGCGCGTGGGAGAGGGACGAGGGGGGTTACACTCCAGAGGACGTCGCCAGGCTCGCGGGGCACGTCGACCTGGCGGACTGGATAGCCGGGGCCGGGGTCACACCGTCCACCGATGACACCTCGTGACCTCTTTGGATAGAACAAGCGTTTGTGGTCCAGAACCCTTGAGGGTTGGATAACCGATGCCTGAGTCATATCGTCCATCGTGACCTCTTTTTGATAGAAGAAGCGTATGTAGCGCAGAAACCTCGAGGACTTGATAGCCGAGAATGGGGTCATATCGTCCATCGAGATTTCTTGATAAAAAAAAAAACATGCGTACGTAGGTACACCGCAGAGGAGTTGTGGTAGGCGTTATGGGGGTGGACCTCTCGTCAGTACCGTCAGTCTCAAGTCCTTCAATTAATCGTTTTTTTTAGCCTGAATTTCTTGATTCCCAGGATGCTAAGTCCGTCGTGGCGGGCGCTGCTGCATGCATGCATGCACATCAACAGCAGTCGCCAAAGCTCTTTTAATTTTTTTTTTCTTCTTCAGTTCCCCTTCCCTCCTCTCCCCGGACCTTTCGCCAACCAAAAGTCCACCCGAGTAAACCATTTGCTCAAGAATCTCGAGCAAACTACACACCTCCCCACCTTCGACGGCTACAACACCTTCACCGAACACTCTCCCCTGGGTAGGATACTATTATACCTCTCGCCACTTCGAACACCACCCGCACACACCCCGGCAGTACAGCAACTCCCGGGACAGAACACACCAATCGGTGCGGCTTACTTCTTCTCTTCCGTCGACACAAGCGAGGGGGCAATATCATCGTGTTTTTTCACACCACGCGTGTGTTGGAGATCTACGCTTGCTTGGGGATGAGGAGAGAGCCAACGAGATCTCTCTCTCTCTCTCTCTCTCTCTCTCTCTCTCTCTCTCTCTCTCTCTCTCTCTCGGCAACTACTCTCGCCCTCTGCGCACCCAAACTCATTCCCCACTCCTAAAGGAAAATATCGTCGTGGGCCTCAGCCACCACGTCACTCGGCATGATTGCCTACGAACGAAAGGAACGAGCCGAGCGGGGAGCCCGGCGAGAGGATAACCAAGCAATCAACTTCTGCCAGCCGACAGCAACCACACCTGTTTGTTAATAATAAGGTACGAAGAAGTATGAAGAAAAATACCTCCAGTGCACAAAATATAACCATCCCCCCCCCCCCGTGAAACTTGCAGCCTACTCCTAGCTAAAAACCAATAGGCAGGCTGCGAAACCGTCATAAGTTGCACCCCGACCTTTCGATCGCTTAATTTCCCGTACCCACCGGATGAACAAGACCGCGGATGACAGCGGTTAGTCTCCAGCCTCTCCACCCTACTAAGCTGCAACGACGAAAAAATCCTAATTAAAAGCGTGCGTGCGCCAACCTGTGTCACGAAAGATCGAAAAAATCAAACCAGTTCTTGGAGCCACGATTTTTAGGCTGGACCATTCGATCGAATGTCGTCAGCACGAGTGAGTTCGGACTACTACCCATGGCACAAGAACAATTTTGAACTGCCGGCAAAATTATATTATTCCACGAAAAATCCAGGGGCAAAAAAATAAACTTTCATCCTTCTAGCCGTCTGGCTGGCTGCCTTGGGGCGCCGCGGCAGAAACGACGCACGAACGAAAGCGCTAATACCACCCCCTGTCACCACAGTAAATACGCCACGGAACCCCCCGAAAACTTCCCCGCCGTCCAATTTTAACACGGTGGTGTCTGTTTGCACCACCACCACCCCCACTGGGGCGACGTGGCCAGACGGCGAGCGGGCAATAAGTGTCTCCGTGCGAGGGTGGTGCTCGTTGCTTGCTGCGAAGGCTATCCGATCGTACTCCTTCGCCATCGCCACAGGGCAACGGCGCGCCTCCCTGAACTCTCCCCTGTACTCCATAGTCCCGACCTAGGTAAATATCTGTAACCCGCCAGCCACAAGCAGCAGCAGCTCCTGGGACAGGCGGAACATGCACGCTAAGCCTAGATATAACTTGGGGGGAATTTTTTCAAGTTTTCTCATATTCGACTTCACCCCCCCCCCCCCCCCCCCCGGTGAATACATTACCACACACGGGGGGGGGGGATGTTGGACAGACGCACCACCACAACGTAGAAGGTGGCGTCATCTACCGTAGGTTGCACACGTGAGATACCACACACCCTGGACCGGTTTTCGAAGCTCGACTTCTCCAGAGGGTGCCAAACCCAAATGATGGCACCTTCTTGGGAAGGAAGGCTCTCGAAAAGACGGCTCCAAACGCCGTCATTTTCGGCATCGCCCTTTTCGCTCCAGAGCAATTGAGCTTTGAAAATCGGCCCAGGGGGGGGGGGGGGGGGGGTATCCTACGCACGCAACCTGCTAATCCCGTGGTACATAAGGAGGATCGAAAATCGGTCCAGGGGGTGTGATATCTTGCGTATGCAACCTACGGTAAACCTAATCCCGCAGGAGTATCGAGGTGACCGCATTGGGGTCGAGCGCGGCTGTCCCCGGCCTGGCGAAGGTGAGCATCATGAGCCCCTCCGTGCGGCTGACGAAGCCGGCCTCGCAGTAGGCGAAGTAGTAGTTGAAGCACCGGACGAAGGCCGAGTCGAAGCCTTGGGCCATGACCTGCCGAGCCGTTCATTTTCATGTCGTGAGGCATTTTTTCAACGTTTTTTTGCGGTGTTGTTGCACAGGGAGCAAGCAGCTTAGAAACAATTTCCAGACTGCTACGAAAGCTTTGTGGACCACCGCTTTTGGTTGGTGCAGTGAGGCAATTCCGACTTTTTTTTGCGGCGTTGTTGCACAGAGAGCAGCGCGTAACAATTTCCGAACTGGTATATCCGACAAGATGTACTTCTATTTGCGTACGACTGCGTCACAAAAAAAAAACACTTCCCGCATGCGGAGCAGTTGATCTGCTTGCATGCGTCAGCAGCAAAAGGGCAGAGTGGGAGCACGAAGAATACCGCGTGAGTTAGTCTTGGTGTGAGAAAAAAAAAACGACTTGGACTGCTGTTGATCGTATATCAGGAGAAGCAGCGCTCGGATTATCGCAGACCGTTGGCGGACAATGAGAGGATAGGACGACTGGAATAGTAAATAGTGTTCTTTATTCACCTGCTTTGCCCCAGGAAAAGTACGACGACTGGAATGGTGGTGGTCTCGTTTTTCCCCTGCTATGACACAATCAACTCTGGGATTGACTAGCAATGAATAAATTCACAAGAGTCAGCGGGAGCTACTGTACCTGTATTTCTTCGATTCCCCGAGCAGCACACAAACAGCTATATCCCCCCCGTGGGTATCAGGCTCCACGAGACCTTTCTTGTTGTTACCTGGTCCAACGAGTGGTTGAAGCGATGCCTCCACTGCTTGAGGGTGTGCGCGTAGTGCACGCACATGTTGTCCAGGCCCTCGAGGGAGAAGGAGCTGCTGCTGGCCATGGCGGACAGCAGGGCCGTCAGGGAAGGGCAGCACGACCCTGTTGGTGAAGAAGAGAGAGAGGAAACCAGGGAGGGGAAAAGAGGAGGGAGAAGGAAAGAGGGAGGGAACAGAGAGGCAAGAGAGGGTAGGGATCAGAGAAAGGGAGGAGAGAGGAAGAGGGAAAGATGGAGGGGGAAAAGAGAGAGAGAAGGAGAGAGGGCAAGAGAGAGAGACAAAAGGGGGAGGGGGCAACAGAGAAGAGCGCAGCGCTCATGTATGAGCCAAAAGCCGGACACGGTCGAACGAACTCGAAAAAATCCAAACGTACATTTGGTCGCTCACAATAGTTGCAAGCACTAAAGCAAACAAAAATCTTCAAAAGAGCGAGGTTGAACTTCCGGGATGCGCGAAGCCTTACAGAAACAGACCACGGAAAGAAAGAGCGCAAAAACGCTTTTTCAGAAAATCAACGACTAATTATATACCGTACCGTCAGCGAGGAGTAGCACCTGTCGCCGCAAAAACACGCTTGTGGAAAGCAAACTTGAGTGTGCATACCACACAATGAAAAAAACGCGCCGCACCTGGGAAGATGATGGTGTTGATGAAGTCGGTGGACCTGATGTACTCCTCGTAACGGTTCTCCGGGGTGGTGATGGCCTGCATCACCATCACGCCGCCGGGGGCCAGCAGGGCATCCGTGGATGCGAAGAACGTCCCCAGGTAGTTGTGCCCCACCGCTTCGATCTGCGTACCCCCCCGCCGTGAGCGCGCGCACGGGTGATGCGGGCGGTTGGCAATGAACAGGTGTACGGCGACAGATTTGTTTGCGTGGCCGTGTGCACACAGCCTATTTTTTGGCCATCGCAAAACACCGATTCGCACAAGAGGACGTGACTATCGTTGCTCCTGCTTGGAGGTGCCCCCAAGAACCGGAACAGTTTAATGTTCTCAGAGTGGGCTGCGGATGAATGATGCTCGCCTGTGATCGGCGTTCGAGTGTGATCGGCGTTCGAGTCAGTCTCAACAGCTTCCAGTTTGGATCTGCCACTAAAACATTCATGGATTTGAAACACAACGGCCGTCAAAAAGAGGCCAGCCCACTCGAAACGAATACGAGAGAGGTGGAGAAAAAAAAAGGGCAGGTCTAGGCGAGGACCATTAAGGCTGGGAACCGAAAAAAAGAAGCAGTACGAAGAAACAAGGGCGTTCGGTGCAGCCTTGTCCTCACCATCTCGCACGAGATGATGCGGTCAAACTCTCCCGGGTGCTGCTTGGCGAAGTCTCGGTAGTCCACCAGCTCGAACGTGATGAGATCCTGCAGCCCGCGCGCCAACACCTGGCGCAAACACAAAATTCGACCCAAACACAAACATTCAGTGTACCGGCTTAAATTGACTCTAATCATGTAAGCCGAGTATCCACCCGGGTTCTCTCCTTCTCACTCACTGCTGCAAAGACTCCAACCCATCCCCTTCGACTATCTGTGGTTACATGTATATCTCGAACGGGTTGTGTGTCTTTGATTGTATCAATATTCTCGACAAAAAGGATACAGGGAAGACGTTGCGACCCAAACCGCTGCCATAGAGCAACGTCCCGAACGAAGCGGCGAGATACGGCTAGGCGAGGCGGTACAGACTCTTAGTACGACCAAAGCCTCCGCCGTGTCCTGTTTCTTCGCCTGCCGAGGACAAGACGTTACAACCCAACCCAAAACGCGGCCGAACTTACACGAGTAACGGCCCGAAACGGCACCGCAAAATAGCCTAACAAGACTCGTAAATGAGCATCAGCTATGGCCTTTTCTTCGCCACCCGAACCGAGCAAGAATCCACTCGAGATCGATCTCTCGTTGGGGCTACGCAGGCCAACGCTCGCTCTCACAGTACCTTCTCCTCGGCCAACGCCTTCTGCTCCTTGCTCAGAGTGATGCCGTGCACGCGGCACCCGACAGTCTCGGCCGCCCTGCGCGCGCCCCGGAGCAAGAAGGCAGACAGGAGGGGGGGACGGGGAATCGGGTCAGCATCGTCAGAGGGGGGGGGGGGCACCCGCCGCTGTCAGCGAGACCAGTAGGACGAAATGGACCAAAGAAAGGCGGGGCAATGGCTGAACCAAGACGAGAGGGAGAGAGAGAGGGAGAGAGAGAGAGAGAGAGAGAGAGAGAGCGAGGGGGGGAGAGGGAGACGGAGAGGGAGCGAGCGAGCGAGAGACAGAGACAGAGACAGAGGCAGAGAGAGATGCAAGCAAGGGCGTAAGAAGGCAAGAGATGCTATGCATAGGAGAGCGAAGCACCACAGCAGGAGGGGCGTACGAAAGGGTAAGCTTAAGGCAGTAGTATACCTGATGGAAATGCCTCCCCAACCGAAGCCGATGTCGAGCAAGCGGTGGTGCTTGGACAGCCTGGCCCTCGCGATCAGGGCGTCCGCCTTTCGCTCCTGCGCCTTCTCCAGCGACCCGGAGAGGACTAGCTCGCCGCCAGGGCTAAAAAAGACAACAAAAAACACAGACCCAAAAGAATCGAAGGAATGTGTGGGTGTGTGTTTGTCCCACCTATTCTGGCTTCTCCCATACTTCTATGTTCTTGCGCCAGTCTGTCTACCCACCGTTCGGTGTACATCTCTCGACACATGTATCAGCCGGGGTCACACAGAAGGAAATGACGTGAAACAAAAAACGCAAACGCGGGGGGAAGGCTGAACTGAAGTAGAAATCGTTGGATCACCGCTTTTTTTTCATCCCTGGGCTCGTTGAATGCCGAGTTGGTCACCGAGATTTAACTTGCGCCGGTGCGTAGAGCGGGCAAGGCAAGGGCGTAAGAACAAAGAGTCGGGACGGAAGGGTACGCATTCACCATGCAACGCAGACCGTCGTCGTTGTGGTTTTGGCCGAGACTAGAACCCGTCGTCAAGCCGACAACAAGACCCTTCTTGTGGTGACACCTCAAAACCCTCCCGTTGTTTCCACCAACAACGTACAGTACCTGCCCATGTCCGCTTGGAAGATCCCGCAGCTGTAGAGCATGTAGTCCACGTCGAGGAAGGTCTTGAACAGCTCGTTCGACAGGTCGTAGTGAGCCTCGATGTTTGACCTGGAGTACGCACGTATAATAGGACGTCGTTCAGCCACGACGGTAAACAAAATGCACATCAGAGAGAGAGAAGGCAAGGCAGACACAATTCTCTTCTCTGGTCCGTGGTACGCCGAAGCCGTCGCTACAACTCAGCAGGACCGGAACGATACACAGCGACTCGCCGAATACCTCACGGTGCTTCGCGCTTGGTGATGTGAGAGCCTGATTTCACAATGAAACAGGCACAAAAAAAAAACGGGATGTCATTCGTGCGTATGCACGCGGTACATGTCCGTGGCCCGTGGAGCGACCTCTCCGCCAACGCCGGAGCGGATTTCGGACAAGGGAACCACGAGGCTTGTATTTGCCGAGGATGGATGCGCTCTCACGTGTGTAGTGTACGCAGTGAAGGAGATTAGAACCGGAGCTTCTCAAGGATAAGGCACACAGAGGGGGGTCCCTGTTTAGTGCCGGTTGAGCAATGCCTGGTGCCGGCATGGTACCGGTGTTTTCGGCGGGCACACACACTCAATTTCCAAGTCATTGTCAGTACTTTTGTATATAGAGTGCCGGTCCCGTCATAGTGCCAGCGAATTTTCTGGGCACGTACCGGCACTACACAGGGACCCCCTAATGCATTTCACGTGCGACGGTACAGTACACACACGAGAGGGGTGTGAGCGAAGAAAGCTTCTTTTCAAGTGTTTCCAATGCGGGGGGCAAGTTCCAGATATCCCATCCGTATTGGGGCAGGGGGGGGGAGTTAGCCAGAACCCCTGGGGCAGCCCCTTTCATCAATTCCAAAGACATGGACAAGGAATTACCGGGGCATAAACTTATGTACAGGTAGGGGGTGGTAGAGTAGGAGCAAAGAGTTGTTGGGCAATGTTCTTCAGCGTTGGGGGCCGTGTTGTGTCCCTTTGCTTTGGACCACACGGGGGGGGGGGGGGTTGTCGTGCGATGTACGGTGCAGGTGTACCATCTCACTCCCTGCCTCACCTGGAGCCGCTGAGGCTGTTATCCATGCTCAGCTTATACCGAAGGTAGTTCAGCCCGTACCCGACCCAGCTCGTGAGGAGCTTCCCCGCCTGACACACGTAGTGTAGCACGCACAGCATGCGAGGAAAAAAATAAAACAGCCGCGAAAACAGGGAGGGGTGATGAGGTGCTAGCAACGAAAGAAAGCCTGATTAAGCCCTAAGAATACACAGGCGAGAATTTGAGGCAGGCAAGCAGGCAGGGATTGTGTGTTGAAACAGTAGGCACTACTGCTGTAGCTGATAACCACGGTGGGCTGCGACAGAGAGAGAGAGACAGGCATGGGCGATCGGGAAGGGAGACCCTTGGCTCTACCCTACAGATTGGGCTGGGCTTCCCTACATGCGGTGTAACAGGCACCAAACGGGGTGGTCTGAACTGTATAGATAGAAAAAGAAATAAACGACGATGGCCAGAAGGAAGAGAGGAAGAACCTTGACGGGGTGTGTGATGGAAAGCGACTCACAAAGATCGTATGGTATGCCGCTAAGCAGACTGCTATCTCACGCAAAAACAAAATGTGTGTGCCGCGCGCTTACTGCACCGCCTGTACCTTCATCCCACCGCTTCGGCCGCGAGTGTCCGTGGAGACGTCTCTGTTGTCCACGAAGAAGAGGAAGATCTGCCTCAGCCCGTCGTGCTCCTCGTTCTCACCGACAACCTCCCACTCGCCCGCCAAGTACGACCTGTCCCGTTTTTCGGAAACGAAACCACACAAGGTTGGGTCGAAGGGAGACAAAGAAAGGGTGGCAAGAGAAAACATGAGTGATTCCATCCCCGCCGCAACTTTGGAGAAGGTGGAGGCAAGATTCAGGGGAAAAAATATGATGGGCAGGGAACGGGAGGGGGGGGGGGGGGGGGGGGGGGGGGACCCAAAGCCGGCCGGCCGCAACCTTTTGACCCTTGAA